AGGAGTGGTAACCATGCCCAGAATATGGCCACAAATTCTTTGACACTCTTACCATCAAGAAGTGGGATCTATGTCCTCTCCCCTTGAAAGAAGGTGGGCTTTGTGACTATTATGAACAACAAAATATGGTAGAAGTGACACTGTTTCAGTTTCCAGACTAGCAACTTCTACTTTATGTCTTTTGGAGCCCCCAACCAACATATAGGAAATCCAACTACCTGAGGCTGCCACGTTATGAGAAAGACCAAGGTAGCCCTGTGGAGAGGCTGTGTGGAAGAAAAGAAAGAGGGAGGGAGGGAAGGAGAGAGAGAGAGGGAGAGAGACAGACAGACAGACCCATCAATCCAACCACCTCCAAGATATTCGGGCCCTACTCATTGTACTCATCCCAGCTGAGGTCCCAGACATCATAGAGCAGAGATGAGCCAACCCCACTGGGCCCTGCCTGAATTCCTGCATCAGAGAGTCATGCTTTATACCAATAATAAATGGTTAAGTCACTAAGTTAGGAGTAGTTTATTACACAACAATAATCATTGAAACACCATACTCTTGTAACTGGTCCCCTCACTACCCAATTTGAGTACCATCAGTTCCTTCTGGGGCCCTGACTGACAAAATATGTATGACAGTGATTAGGGCTGGTAATCACATTCTAGACTTCTCTTCTTCTGGGGAAATGGTAGAACTGTACTTCCCTCTAAGGTCAGACATGCCCTGGTGACTTGCCTTGCTTTAGACAATGAAATGTGAACAGAAATGACAGAACTGCACTTCCCTCTAAGGTCAGACGTGGCCTGGTGACTTGCTTTGCTTTAGACAATGAAATGTGAACAGAAATGACATGTGTCACTTCCAGACAAGAGCTTCAAGGCCCAGTGGGCCATTCACCATGTTCCCTTCCCTCTGACATTATGACCAGTGATATCAGTTGCTGATCGAGAAGATTCTATTAACTTGGGTCCCTGAGTGAAGATAACATGGAGAAAAGCTACCTACAAACTGCTCATCCCACACCCCAAGATGGACACGCAGTGTGAACAAAAACTAAACATTTGTTGTTTCAGCCTCTGAGATTTTGGTGTTGTTTGTAACTGTAGCATAATCATAGTGACTGATACAATAAGTTCCTTTGTCAAGCTAATCTTGACCAAAACGACCCCATGCATGAGGGAACCATGTGAACTCCTGAATATTCTGCACACAAGGAAGGAGGTCTATAAATTAAGCAAATATATATGTCCATCTTTATTACATCTACAGCCAGGAATACCATGGAAATCAGTCAACCATGTGGAACCATAGAAAGCACCTCTTAGACTTCCAACTACAGGGAATGTAATTGACCGAGAGCCCCTGCTGCTACACTTGAATCCTTGCCACGCCTCCCACAGGCTGCTCCCAGCCAATGACTGAATGCAGCAAGGATACTAAGGCAGACCCATTCCTGGGAGACACAGGCATCCTCTGATGGCCTTTCTTAGACTGCACAGCAGTCTAGGACACTCCCAGCCAACCCGTCCCTCTCTCCTTCACTTGGGTCAAATTTGCATTGCAGTCTGACAACCCTCCCATCTTCCCCACTCTGCTCCTTATTTTCTCTCACAAGCATTTCCCCTAATAAATTCCTTGCACATTTAAACCTATCTCTGCGTCCGCTTCTCTGAGAACCCAGACTAATACAACCATACAATGACTATTCAGCCTTGAAAATTTAGCTTTGATAAATTAAACATACAGAGACAACAGAACTAGCTCTTATTGAGTGAGGGCTGTCCTATTAATCTAAAGTCAGAATTAACCAGTTTTGTACAACGTGATGTCCATATCTACGGCTAGACCTAATTCCTAAATGACCTATATTAATATGGTATCATTTCCCAGCAGGTCTGGGGCAGCACCCTATAATCAAATACATTAAAATTTCTTCCACAAAACATACAGATATTAACACAAGTGGGATAAAAACAAGTAGCTTCAAGACAGTTCAGGTATGGGTTTGCCACCAAATGAGTTCAGCAAAGGTTAGGCTGTGCCACCATATGAATTATACAAAAAATTCAGTTTTCAGAGCTTTTTGACTTTTGAGTTGTGGATAAGGGACCATGGACCTATATATCCACACTACAGAAAACTAGGCAGCCTTTTAAAAAAAAAACAGACACTTCTTTGAACTAATACAAAAGAATAAATGGCCATCCCACAGTGTTGGATGAAGCATAGAGCATAGCATAGAGCAGAACAACTTGCAAAGGCAGCATTATATTATACATATACAGAATAGGGAGAAGAAAGGTGGAGACTATCTTCACTTGTCAGGTACCCACACTCCCCACCTTTTATTACTCACAACCCTTTGTAATGACTTCATCTCTGGTTTAGAAATGCTTTGGAAATATTGTTTATGAGTATTGATTATGATGTAGGAAAATTTTTTAAGTAGAAATTTATTTATATTATTTATGAGACAGAGAGAATAAGTTCATCTCAGCAAACTGCCCACATTGATGGCAGGTAACTAAAATATTATGTAGAAATTGGGGGCTGAGATGGTGCACAAAAGAAATTTATTTAGGATACTAAATAAGCCTCCTCTGTCAAGGCAAGAGACACAGAATATGAAAAACACAGACAGGAGCCCCTATGGTAGACCTGAGACTTCCAAGTATCCTTTCCCATATCAAAGGAGAGGACACAGAATAAAGGATGCAACTGCTCCTCAGAGGATTGGAACTCCTCAAGAAACACCCAATTCTGGACCTCTTTCCTCATCTGCCTCTGAGCACCTGTCCTACTACTCAGGGAAGGCTCCTTCCTTCATCAACCACTTAGGGAGCCAAGAGCCAAAAGACTACTCACCTTCCCCCTTCCTAAACCTTTTAATTCTAACTGATAAAAAACACAAACAAACAAAAAACGATGGAAAGCAGGGAGAAAAATAAATTGAGGAAATATTCTCCCTAGTCGCTAAATAACCCTGGGACAAATGGTCTGGAATGGATAAAAGTTAAGGAATCACAATTAGGGATTGGAAATTCAAATCTAATATAGTAACGCTCACTTTGCACTTGATATATTCAGTGTTGACTATATTTTTTTCCACAATAAGCATGTATTAATAACTTTGTGATTTTTCAAATCTCATGTTTTAATTATGGGCATAATTGAGAACAACATCAGTTAATATATGTAAAGTGATATTACTATTCTCTATGAACCACTGTCTGGGAATACGGTAAGCACCAGCACTCTGCTTGGTACTTTAACAAACATCATTCCCTTTGTGTACTGTTTATTCAACCTCCTAAGTCTAAGGTACTGCGCTTGGCCCCAGAGGTACCCCAGTGAACAAAACAGGTGTGAACCCTAGCCCCAAGAAGCAGGCATGCCATTGTGGAAACAGACATTAAACATATTTAATGATTTTATTCTACTTGAGGTAAGCGCCATGAAGGAGAAGTACAGAGTGACCAGTGAGAACCTCATAATAGCTCTCTGAGGTAGATCTCATCCTCAATTACGAACAGAGTTATCATTAATATTTGTAACATTAAAGCATGCTAATTATAATAACAAAATATCCTGAACACATAATAACTATCACTATGACAATAATGACTTGGGAAATTATTTTATATCAATTGATCAATGAGGAAAAGCATGGGAATAAATGAGGAAGAAAGCCTAAATGTGTGAGAGAGTAAATGGATAGATAATTACTGCCAAAGAATTTCAATAGCGCCGTTGTATTCCTCCACAGAGGAAGATTTCTCCATGCAGAGGGTTAGAGACCTTCAATACAAGACATCCACCTCACCTCCAGAAAGCAAGATACTAACAGAAGGACAACCTGGAAACAAATACTAGGTTTGTATTTCCCAAAGACATGTTCTATATTTTCCAAGACAGACAATTTTAAAGCCTTGGTCCCTTTATGCCCATAAACTCTTAAAATAACCTGGAAATCTCAAAATACTTATGTTTAAACCACATCGAAAATTACCCTTGAACCTAGAAGTAACACAAAAATCCTAGTCAGACTAAGTACCCTGTGGTTTTGGAAAATACTGCCACTATGCTCAAAAGTTACTAAATGCTAAGAGATGGACATCTTCCATCAAGACCTGCTGCTCTAAACTAGAAACCCCATAATCATGTACAGCCAGGCTTCAATGTTGCCATAATCAGGTATTCTTGGATTCTGTAAAATGAAAGCCCACAGAAACAGAACTTCCAGATGTAGAAAGGTGTGCATTCCATCAAAAGACATGTGAAAAGTTGTTCCTTTCTTCTCTTCTACCAGGGCTGGCAACTCCAATAACTTGACAAAGATCATCAGAACTAAATACTGTATATGTCTCTTTATTTGCTGAAGAAAAAAGTCCTTAACATTAGAATTCTGGGTCCATGGGTGTCTCCTGACAGCTCACAATGTAAAAGATATTAGTTGATTTATTATACAAAATGAGAGCATCATAAGGAATTCAGAGTGGTGCTGATGAGACAGCCAACCTTTGATGGGACCTTAATTTGACTGCACTTTAATTTTTGCTGTCACAAAATTGTTATAATAAAAAGTTATGTCCCATTAAGGAGATGGCAAATCCATGACACTTGTGCTATCACTGCCCTCTCCACGCCCACAGTAAACCTTGCACTGTCTGTGACAGACTTGGCCTCAGAGGACAGCTTAACAGAGAGTTCCAAGTAGCCACTACCCATGAACTAAAGTAGGCACAAGAGTCAGAGTCTATTTGCCAATCCTCGTTTAGACTATCTTACCTGACATTCACAATGCCATATTCTATGACACCAAATGGATGCCACCAAACTTAAGCTGTCACCATTGTTAAGACCTGTGTTTGATATTGCTAAAAAATATGAATAGAATGAGAAGAAAGATAAACTCACCATTAAGTGAATTATACTAAGTTCACCTTCCTCAGTTTCCATCAGTTGTAACACAAACAGACAAAAAATTATATCAGCCAATCACTGACCTTATGGAGAGCAGGAGCCAAGACTGGCACCAGGAATCCATTGTAAATGTAACTGACAAGCTGGTTACGAATCAAGGGGTGAGCCACCTAAGAGAATAACAGGTAGTGATGAAAAAGACAGAGTTCAATCTTTAGGTTTTCTTAAGATCAAACACTTCTGTATATCCTGAATTCAAAAAGGAAATCCAAATTTTTGGCCATTTATTCCACGGTTAAAGAATAATTCAGGCTTCAAAGCACCACGTAATTTTTTCAGATGGTTTATTCCAGTATAAACAAAAACTGGTAATTTTACGGTTCTATTTGAAGAAACAGACAATAAATAGACTGAATATAGAACGACTCATGAATTAAAATTAGCAAACTTGAAAATATAATTTTTGCCCTATAACTTCATCTATGTCCCATCTTAACTTATGACTAATTTAAAAAAAAAAGGATATAACTGTCAAAATGGACAATTAAATATATTACATTGCCAGCAGAAAGAATTTTCTCATTATGAAGATGCATTTTCTGATAACTATTTATATTGGGGAGGAAGGCATTTAGAAAATCTTTTCATAAAAAACAGATACTCTTCAAAAGCAAAAAACATTATCAGAGGTACAATATTCCCTATATTTTATCTTTTAAATATATTTAGCATGGATAATCCTTCACTAATATCTTTTGTAAGTAATCTTTTCAGCAATATCTCCAAACAAAAAGAAAATCTTAGTAATCTAACTATATAAAAAACATAGCATGAAATATAACATTCCTGTGTTCCTAACCATGCCTGCTAGCTTTACTTCCCTTTCTTAAAAGAAAAAAAAAACAGATAATAAAATCAAACAATAAAGTAAAAAGCAATTTCTAGGGAAGTGAGGCTACGTCTTTAAATTACTGATCATCTGTCTCTCTCTGAACATTTGGGGAGGAGCTAATAGTTTCATCTTTTTTATTTCCACACATTTCTGCAAGAAAATGTTGATAGACCATAATATTAAAGGAAAAAATAACTTAAGATGTAATCCATTTATCTTATATATAAATAAAACTTCTTTTGACTTAGCAATAAAAATGAGATGGGAACTAAAGTAATTTACTTGCATTTTCTTCCAGAAGCTATTTCTTTATTTGGTAGATAAACAGATTATAACTAACATTTTTCAACTTACAATCACCATAAAGAAAATTTGATTTCTTAATAAATCCAATATTAAGGTAATATTCATGCTGTACAGAAATAAAACATTTTTTGATGAAAGCCTACTACATCCTTAAATATATATAAAATCTGATTTTTATTGAAAACAGTAACAAGAAATCTGAAGGTAAAAATCTAATCAAGAAGCCAAATATACTAGAGTTCAGAGGCTGTTTTTTTCCCCGAAGCAGGCCAATTTCAAAGCAAATTTAATTTGTGTTGCTAAGAAGATGCTTAACTTCTTCTAAATTCAATTGGGATAACAATATTCTTTATGTAATATGCACCATTAAGCAAAATAAAGTGTTTTCCTTGGTAGACTCCCAAAAAGACCTTGAAGTAAAAGTGGTATAATTTGGAGTACTTAGAAGCCTAAAAATATCTATTTAATGAGTCAGGCATTGAACTTATTTTTGATGGTTAAGTGGATAATCAAAACAGAATTAACACTTTTTATCAGGAAGATAAAGAAAATCTACTCATTTTTTTCTCAATTAAAACTTCCCAGAAACCTATAAACCAACATTTTTACTCTTCAAGGACATTCAGTATACTTTAAAAAGTAAAGCATCGATATTCCATAAATATTTATTATAATTAAAAAAGCAAACGTTTATAAACTAATCCTTTACAACGGTTGTATTCTGAATGGACCATAACAAAGGGTTCCTTTGTTGTGCTCTGGTACCTGTATGACAGCATTGCAAAACTCCAGCGAGTTCATGAACTGGACGAGGGAAGGGAGGAGGAGCCAGTCATCTTTCAGAAGGCAGTGCCATTCCTCACCTTTCTCTTCTAGCTTTGTAGGCAGAGACGAGTAGAGACCACTGAGCCCAGTTGCAAGTACCTGTGTTCAGAAATGCAAATGCAATAAACTCTCTTCCAAAGTTCTTAACCTGCAACTAACAATTCCCCGGTGATGCCAATGCCACTGGTCCAAAGACTGCACTTTCAGTAGCAAGATATTAAAGGATTAGAGGATATCAGCTAGCTAGGAAGGATTCAACAGGTGAGGCAGCAGGGAAGGACAACTCCAGCAGAGGGCACAGCAGCACCAGAGGTATTTGGCTAATACCTACACAGTTGATACGGGTTGCTTATCTCTTATGTGTCAGGCATATGCCGGGCTGCTGGTGTAAAGAGTGAGGGAGACACAGGCAAAGATGAAGAAAATATGATTCCTGCCCCCAAGGTATTCAGGAGGGGGGCAAACTCATAAACAATACGCTATAGAACAATACGTTGAGTGCAAATACAGAGAAGGCACACACCCCAGTCTACGGGAGGAAGCCCTGAATACATGCAAGTTTAGAAAGCACTTTAATCAGATCTTCACAAATCATACCAAGAAGAAAGAACTGGGGGTCATGGGTCAGTTAGATGTGACGACAATAGTTCAAACAGAGCTAAAGTTGGTCTGAACTGAAAAGAGAGGAAGAAATACATTTGAATATCACATGTAAGGTAGACGTGAGGGTGACCTAACTATGACATCTCTCAATCCAATATTAATCCAAAGCTCATGGGGTTTACTTCCTCCTTCAGTGCTCTGCTCCTAAAATGAAACTGACACCATTTGGGCTTAGTAAGTGAGAGTGAGTGAGAACTCAAAACTGTCAAGTTATCCAGCTCGGTCACTAAGAAAATGGTGATACCTTTAATAGAGATAGAAATGCAGGAAAGGAACACACTTCTGCTGAGTGCCTGTTGATTTTATCTTGCGGAGTATAAGGCCAAGGAAAACAATGAATTCCACAGTACTGGAGACCTCCCAACTGAGAAGTGATGCTAGCCAAACAGCACCTTAGAGATCCTGATCTGGCAGATGTGCAAAGGATGGACAGGAATGGCACAGAATGGAAACAAGGAAGTTATCTATAAGAGGCCATTGCTCTAGGGTAAACTCTGAGGTTATGAGACATTCAAATGCGATCGAAACATTCGAGGAAACACATTCAGTCCTGAGTTACGCCCAGAAAAGAAATGGTGCAGTATTCACTGATCTCAAAGTCTAATAAGACACGAACAGGCAATTACAATAGTGTAATAAATGCTCAGAATACATAAAAGAAAATATGTGGTGCTGTGAATATACAAAAGGCCCTTAACCCAGACTTGGGGGGTTGAGAGCAGAAATGTTCTCAGAAGAAGTGATGTCCAAGATGCTGAAGAATAAACAGAAGTTAGCCAAAAAAAAAGAGTATTGGAAGGAAGACTATACCAAGCAGAGGATGTACAAAAAAAGCTCAAAGGAGAAAGAAAAGATGGCACCTTCTAGGAACTAAGAGAAGTGCAGTATTATTGGAGTGTAGAATTAGAAGTGGAAAGAGGCTAGCAAGGTAAGCAAGAGTCAGACCCTACAGGGTTCTGTAGGTCAGGACAAAGAGCTTAAGGGACATCCCAATGGAGAGCCCCATGGACAGACGTGTGGGTCTGATGCTTAGGAGAGGGATCTAGACTAGAGATGGAGATCTGGAGCCATCCAAATGTAGATGGTACCTCAAGCCATACAGACCAAGGGAAGGGAGGTTTAGACAGATGAGATATGAAAAAATAATCCCTAGTGCCCAGCATCAAAAACAGAAAGTCAGAAGGAGGTGTGGATTCAGCTATGTTGAACTTGGAAAAAAATCTACCAAGTCATTGTTGCCTCTCCTTTTCCTTTGTTCTGTTCCCACAGCACTCTTTGTATCCCTTTGCATAGCAATTGTTTTTCTTGGATTTATTATTTTATTGGCTGTCTTCTCCATCTCACCTGGTCTGATTTGTTCACTCCAGTCCACACTGGAGGTGTGGATGATTTGTCTAGTCAGGTATGTTGAGTAACAGATGCTAGCAGTACTTCCCATGAGTAACACATCCAGCTCAACAATAGAGTACAGGCCTAGAGACTGAGAACCTGGAGGTCTTAGCACAGAGTAACCAGATGACGCCATGGGAGGGAGTGGGGGCGGGTGGTATGATGGAATAGGAGCACACAACGGAGTATAAAGGGCAGTGAGAGAAACAGATGAATCATTTCAATATTGGAGAAATCAAAAGATTATATACATTTCTCTGTTCTGTTTCCTAGTGACCTTTATTCACTCATTCATTCCCTTACCATTAAACAAAAAAGTTACTGTGCATCTTTCAGGCCAGGTACTAGGTTAAGTACAGAAAATACAACAATAAGCAAGATAGTGCATTTATCTCTTTTTAAGAATCAGGGCATCTATGGTCCTGAAGGAGAATGTCCCCTATTTAAAGTATTTAACTCCCTATCAACATCCCCAAACAAATCACTTTAATTCCAGTTTTGAATGTGACCCGGGTGAGTTGCCTGTTATAAATTAGAAACCTCTGGCAAGAAAGAACAGATTCCAAAAGTTCTCCTTGAAGAGAAATCTAATCTTGATGCCACATTTTTAAAATCAATTACATTTGCTAACTCATGCTAAATTAACCACAGAACAAAGGCTTTAATTCTGCATACTCCTGATGCCTTAACCACTTTGAGGCTTTGAAGATGAATTCATAAAGACAGGCTTAATTTGTCTGACTAAAAAGCTGGGAATAACTATTCAGTATGTCATTATAATTACAGCAACATTAATTTTCAAATTACATACATCAGTGACAGTAATTAAAAACAACACATACCTAATATGCACTTTTTTAAAAGAGTATTCTGAAAAGGGCATGGCTGAGATGTGAAGAGAAGCCTGCCTGTACGGAAGGACAGTGCAGTGTGACAGCTGGACATGGAGTCCTGCCGTGTTCCTGCCCTTAGAAGTGGAGCTAGAGAATGTCTTTGCTATCTTCTTCAGAGTGGCAAAGAGATATGGAAGAAAATATCCTGCAGAACAAAGAGTATTACATACTCTTAAGAACAAGACTCCAAATCTTTACTGCTAAATATTTATATCCACCTTTCCAAGACTTTACTCAGAGTTCAGATTCATTCACCCAATCCATGTATATTCTAGAACACCGACTGTGGGCCAGGCACTATGTAAGGCTGGTTCTGGGGAAATAGCAGTGAACAAGTCAGACCAGGTAAGATAGGGAAGGCAGACGATAAACTAATAAATGAAAGTAAGATGACTGCTATACAAAGGGATACAGAGGGTGCTGTGGGAACAGGACAAGGAAAAGGAGAGGCAACAACAGGTTTGTAGATAATTCTTCAGAGTTTAATGGCACAATCTATTTACTTTCAAATTTCATTTTGAACTTAAAAATTAAAAAAATATGTAGACATTCAACGGCTAATTAAAAATAAAATGCCCATCCATTATTTTAGCCTTTTATTGATCCTGACCACAAAAAAAGTAATTGTAAAACATTATATTTATTCCCAACACATTATGTATTAACCCAGTATTTTTAATTTATCATCTCTCAAGAGTCTCCTTAAAAGAAATCACCATAAGGATAAAACCGTAAGGATAAGAATAGACATTAGAAAAGCAAACCATTTCCCTGACAGCAGAACAGCATGGTAGTTGTTGAGACCACGGATTTTAGTATTAGACTAACATTGTTTTGAACCAGACTGCCATTTACAGGCAGTTATTAAAGTCCTCTAAGGTTCAGTTTCTTCACTGAGTTGTTGGAAGAATTAAAGAAACTAATGCACATAAAAAGATGAGCATTGTGTTTTACACATAGTAATGTTTCCAATGGAGGGAAGAAAGATGACATGCAGAGAGACCAAACAAGCCAGGGAAGGCACATCTTTAACTTTAAACATCTAATGGTACCTGGTTAATTTTAGCAAAAGCAAAAAGATTTTTAGCAGATGGCTTTAGTCTGAAGCTAGCAGCAAAACAGCTGGTGGGGACCATTTGATACAACTTGGCAAAATAAAAAGCCTCATAAATTTTGGATATGGGATAAATAACTTTCTATCTGCGGCTGTGTACCTAAAGGTTGCTTATTTCAATTTGCATTTCTTGATTTATGTACAAGCTGTTTTCTACTTTTGCCAATATGCAACGAATGGCAAGGGTGTAATCATTAATATTTGGTTAAAAAAAATCAAAAGAAGCAATAGGGTCATATATAGTCCCCAATCATTCGTTGGCACTAAATTATTCCCTAGACTATTCTCATTCTCCTCCTTTTCTTGGGAAAGCACATCTTGAGATAAGAGGCAGCAGAACCAGCAAGCTCTTCCTATCAACTACAACAACAAAAGTTTCCAAAAGTGGTCCATTTTCCTGAAACAGTCATTACTCTTCCCAAAGCCTGATGCTAACACACTTTGACAATCATACTAATTAGAGAAAGCTTTTTGTCAATTGTGGTCCTTAGCTGGATGGTTAATAGAGTATGCTTTTATCTTCAACGTAAAGAGGACTTTTTTTTTTAATTATGTTGGCAGATGTAATTATAGAAAACTGGATACAAATGAGATTATGGGATCTATCCTGAGGGGCAACTTAACACAACGAAGCTCTGTGTGCCATTCTAGCAAATAAGATCAGCTGGAGACATTGTTTTTCCTCCAATTTTAATGAACTGTACAGTGTTTTAAAACACGTTTCTATTTTTTTTATTTATTTTTATTTTTTGTGAGGAAGACCAGCCCTGAGCTAACATCCGATGCCAACCCTCCTCTTTTTTCACTAAGGAACACTGGCTCTGGGCTAACATCCGTGCCCATCTTCCTCCACTCTATATGGGACACCGCCACAGCATGGCTGGACAAGCGGTGCGTCAGTGCGCGCCGGGATCCGAACCGGGGAACCCCGGGCTGCCGCAGCAGAGCAGGCGCACTTAGCCGCTTGCGCCACCGGGCCGGGCCCCCTAAAACACGTTTTTATAAAGCAACAATTTCTCAGTGAAATCTGCTTATAACATAATAAGTGGAAATCTAAACATTAAAAACATACTCCATTCTAGACCTAATATATTTAAATTTTTAAGTATGAAATATTCCATATAAAAAATAGAATAGAAAACCATCCCCAAGATTTAACAGATTTTAATTTTTTGCTATAATTTCTTCAGAGTGCTCTTTATTTTTTCAAAAAATAAAACATTACAAATAGAGCTAAACCCTACTCCAATCTCATTACCAACCCTTCTCCCCAAGAGTAACTCCAGTCTTGAACTTAGTACATATTATTCCTTCACCTGTGTTTGTACTTTTACTGTATACATATGTATCCAAAAAACAGTATACACCAAGATTTTGTCTTAAAACTTTATGTAAATTTTATGTAACTACTAATATACTATATGTAACCTTTTGCTATTTACTTTTTTTACTCAACATGTTTTTAGATTTATTGGTGTTCACACATGTAGATTTAGTTACAAAATACATGTGATTTTATTCATTTTGAATGCTGAGTAATATTCCACTGATGTAGAATAAACCAGTTTATCTTTCCCTTAATTTCTATTTTTCTCTTCCTCCAATCACTATTCTATTGAATATCTTTGTGCATATATCCTTGTAAACATGTGTCAGATTCCCTTAGGGCAGATACCTAGAGGTGAAGATGCAGGATCAGATGGTATGCAAATATTCAATTTTATTAAATATTGACATACTGCTTTCCTGAGTTATTGTACCAATATATACTCTCAAAAGTTCCTGTTTTTCCACATCCTTGACAACACTTGGTGTTATCAGATGTCTAACAGTTAGCCACTCTGATGGGCACTATCTGGTGTCTCATTGTGGGTTCAATTTGCATTTCCCTGATACTAGGGAAGATGAGCATATTTTCATATGTTTATTGACCTTAGGTGTCTTCTAGGAATTGTCTGTTCATATCCTCTGCTCATTTTTCTAATAGGTTGTTTCATCATTTTCTTATTCATTAGTAGCATTACAAATATTTTTGTATATTTTGGGTACCAATCGTTTATAGTTACCTGTGTTGCAAATATCTTCTCCCAATCTGTGTTTTTATTCTTAATTCCAGTCTTTTCTTTACGGTTGATGCTTTATAGGAAGTCTTGATATTTTACTACTTATGTACAAGGCAGTGTTAAGCACATGGGTCCTTAAGTCAGACTGCCCAGGTTCAAATCTTGACTCTGTCACTTACTAGCCATGTGGCCTTGTATAAATTTACTTAATGTCGTTGTGCCTCAATTTCTTCATCTATAAAAAGGGAATAACAGTAGTACCTACAATTGTGAGGATTAACTGAATTAATACATATAAAGCAATAATAATGACATATATGTCCAGCATATAGTCAACTCTCAACAAATATATTATTGTTAGCATTATTCATAATTATCTCAGCTATTCTTGGCCTTTTACACACTTTTATATGACTTTTAGCCACAATTTGTCACATTTCATGAAAACCCTTTTAGGATTTTAAGTCACATTAACACCTCACAAACTACACCTTACAATTACAAAGGGGAAATTTTACCTTTACAATGGAGAGATCTAGTGGTCACCACCTTAAACAAACAAGTGATCAAGTGTAGCATCACCAATACTGGGACGACCTAACACATGTCTCTTGATGTAATGCAACAGGAAGTGTACCACATCACCTGTAAAATATTCTTGCCAAATTTATTTAACCTGAATTTAGTCAAGCATTTAGACCTAACTTCCAATTTGCAGGAAATACAGAGGACGGAGACAAGTCAAACCCAGAATGTGGCTTGTTGTATAAGACAATGGCTGATCTCTTAAAATGTCACAGGGAAAAAGTGGCAGGCTCTGTACAGATTAATAGGGACTAAAGAGATATGACAGCCAGAAATGCACCTTGTATTGGACTCCAGTTCGGGAAAAAATCTATAAAAGTCATTTGGGGCGTGACTGGGGAACTGGATATTAGAACATATTATGGAATAGTTGTATAATTTCCTTAGGTATAATAATGGTATTGTGGTTATGTAGGAGAGTGTCCTTACTTTGGAGATATATACTAAAGTATCTGATGTCTGTAACAATTTCAAACGTCTATAACAATTTCAAATGGTACAGCAAAAAAAAAAAAAGCATAGATGATAAATACACCACAGTATGGCAAAATATTAACAGTTTTGAATTTAAGTGGTGCGTATATGGTGTTCATTTCAGTATTCTTCCAAGTTTTCTGTGTTTTACTTTTTTTCATAATAAAAAGCTGTAAAACATAAATTGCATTAACTTTACAGACTAATTTGCAGAACAGTGTCATCTACACAAACTGTGAACTACAGAGCTTCCCATTTATTTAGATCTTCTTTTATGCCCTTCAATAAAGTTTTATAATTTTCTCTGTAAAAGCTTTCACATATTTGTTAGATTTATTCAAGATACTTTACGATTGTGTTGCTTTTGTAAATGGTATCTTTTTTAAACTGTCTTTTGCTTACGGATTAGGTGAACCACACCTGAATATTTTGATGATTTGTTTCAATATTTGCGTTTCTTCTTTAACAGCAGAACTACCCAAAACAATTCAAATAAGCCCAAACTCAATCTTTCATATAGCTCTCGCACCATACTGTTTATTTTTTAATAAGCTTCTATCTCCACATCATTGTGCATATCCAGCCCCTCCTTTTCATTCTCATTCCTACCACTCTTGTTTCTAGACCCTACTGTGTCTCCCTACTTCCTCAGCATCTCCCAAACTCACCCACCTTACATAGTCAGATTAAACTCCTAGAAGAATTCTAATTATGCTGTGTTCTTGCCCAAATTTCTTCAAGAGCTCTCCAACCTGGATACAGCAATTGTGGAAGGCAGAATAATGTGTGTGTGTGTGTGTGTCCATCCGCCACCAAAGATGTCTACCTCCTAATCCCTGAACCTGTGAATATATTAGGCTACATGGCAAAAGGGAATTAAAGTTGCTAATCAGCTGATATCTAAATAGCGAGATTATCCTGGACAATCCAGGTAATCCCAATGTAATCACAAGGGTCCTTAAAAGTAGAAGAGGGAGAAAGAAGAGTCAGAGGGAAGTGTGACTACAGAAGAATGGTTAGGGAGATGCAACACTGCTGGTTGTGAAAATAGAGGGAAGGGGCCATGAGCCAAGGAACGTGGGTGGACTCTAGAAGCTGGAAAAGGCAAGGAAACAGACTCACCATGAGAGCCTCCAGAAAGGGGCACAGCCCTGTCTTGAATAAATTCAAAACATCTTGATTTTAGCCCAGTGAGACCTGTTAGACTTCTAACCTACAGCAAGATATTACTAGGATAAGATAATAAATTTGTGTTGTTTAAAGCCATTAGTTTTTGGTAATTTGTTACAGGAGAAACAGAAAACTAATACAGCAATGTATTCCAAAGATGCTTAGATTCAGGGTAAGAAGTCCCATTTTTGCCTAAGATATATTCTTTAAAAAGAGTTTTTAAGAAACTGCACTATTGAAGGAGATAAGGGAGATTTAATATGCCAGCACAGATGAGTGGAATTAGTTCTTCACTTCCCATTTGACTATCAATCTTTGTACAATTTCTTACTCCATTGGTCAGAAGCCAGAAGAGAAGAGACACATGGTACTCTGAATTTCTTAATTGAAATTTAATTTTATAAAATTTTTACTCACTTGTTTGCCCTGAAATAAATATTCACCAGACACTAAGTGACCCTAGTTTATTAGTAAAAATAGGAATTTAGTAATATAAAGAAGATTACTGCTTTTGAACCTCAAAGCAAAATACAGTATGTTACTCACTAAGGTTGCTATTAGCATTTGGGGCAGGTCAATTCTTTGTGCAAGATTGTTCCACAAACTACTGGACATTAAGCATCCCTGGCCCGTGTACACTGAAGGCCAGTTGACTTCCCTCCCTGGCCAACCCATATCCCTATGACAACCAAACACAGCCCACATAGAGTTCTAAATGCCCTCACCCCTGGTCAAGAACTACCCATATAGGGTTCATTAACAATTAATCTAATCTTTTTATGGCAACTTGCCTGGCCTGTTCCAATAAAACTCACTAATGGTCTTACACACTATGCCAGCAGAATCAGGCATATGTAGTTTATAAAGAAATATAATGAGGTGATTGGTAAAAAGAACAGACAATGGAAAAAAACTGGAAATGTTTGCTGAGTTGGGAAAATAAAAATGTTTTAGCTGTTGCCCAACATATCTGACAAACCAGAAGAAGATATAAATCTGTCATCTAAATCCCCCTTCCAAAGACAACACTAACACCAAAAAAGAATCAGAGCCCTAAGGCATCTGAAGAGTCTCAGGCAGCTCCAATTATTTTATGGAACTGTGATAGGGCCAACATCTGCAAAGGACCTTATACTTCATTTCTCACCATACCAATGATTAAGAAACTACACAGAATCGAGTATTTCTTGCTACCTCAAACTGTAAATACGTATTTATTTTTAAAATAAAATCAGTGCTTTGTATCTACAATTATGGTCATTATCTTGCTGAGAAACAAACTAACTTGTGAAACCAGCTGTGCAGTGTCTCACCACATGCCATGATTCGTTGGTGCAAAATCAACCTGAAAAGGTAAGAATACAGAAAGAGCAGGTTTTACCAATTGTGCAGGATATGCTCTTAGAAAAAATTAACAGACCCAACAGAAATGAACCAAGAAATGGCAACACATATAGTTTCCTCTGTTGGCTTATTTTGAGTCGACACTGTTCAGCAAAATAGCATCTCAACTTAGATTCCTCTGCTCCCTCCAAAAGATTTCCTCTAAATATCTTTCCATAGAAGGTGCCAAGTACAACTTGCTGAAAAGAAAGGAATAAAAAAGTATTTATCATTAGCACAGGAGAGGAAAAGAGGAGTGAGTGGAAAACATGCCAATGAGAGGAACTTACTGGACAAAAGTAAGTGTTCTCCACGATGTGATGGGCCACCATGCTGTTCTCAGCAGAGAGAGACATGATGAAAAGCAAAGCATCCCGGGCCTGCTGACCTACTGCCCCCTCTCGGTGAATGAAGGGAATCAAAAGGGAAAAGATGAGGAAGTTGGCAGCCCCTTGGTCCTCACTAGTGTGGAAGAAGAGTTCCAGAATGGATGGATCTTTGGCAAGGATGGAACAGAGCTGATTGAGCAGGACCACCAGCTTCCCCTCCACAGTGGGGGTAGTTGTTCCAGAACAAGAGCTCAGCAACATCATCAGGGGCTTCAGAATGGGCTTGTGGTGCAGCAGAGGCTGGTGTGACTGGGTAACCAACATCTCATACATCTTTAGCTGCTCGATTTTAGTCTCATCAGTAAATTCCCGCCTCAAGCTCCAAAGGAAGAGTTTCTCCATGATGTTCTCAGAGACCACAAATTCCAGAATTGGCCCCATTGCAGCATCCTTGGCTTGTTCTTCAATCAGCAAGAAGAGCATGTGTTCTACATAATTCTGCACAGCACTGGCCTCATCTGGAGGGATGGATCCATATTTTGCCTGGGTGTTCTTCAAGGGGTCATGCTTCTCTAAGATTTTCACAACCTGTAATCAAATCAAACATTTGTCATCGCCATCTGATGTCTATCATAATTACAAAAGCATACCACCACTGATTGTACCAAATCTTCAAGGAAAACGCAGGAGCCATGGCCCACAACAAGACATATGAGCATTGTGTTTTGTCTCTCTCTCATGTGAATAAAATGAAGGAGTTAAACTATAGAAAGATGATGTTTGAAGACATTCATTTATAATAGTTAGAAATTTTGGCAACCTAAATGTCAAAGAAAGTAGTATGGTTATGTAAGTTAAGCTACATGCATTCCTGGGCCTATTATTATGAAGACTATTGAGGAAAATGAAATGTAAGTAATATGTTAGATGAAAAAATAAATTACTTTTATATAGTTAGATCCATCATTATCAATTATGTCAAAAACACGTATATGAAAAAAGACTGGAAAAATAGTAATCGTTTTTTGTGTTCAAAGTGATGACAAGCTCTTAAATTTTTTTCTAAACTGTCAAGAATATAATATTGCTTTTTAATTTTAAAATACATTCAATAAGTAAGACTACCCGTGTTATCCTACAAATAGAGTTGATTTGGAGATTTCAGCAGGGGAACACAGCTCCTCGTATGCCCTTGACAGAATAATATCCCTCTCTCCTCTACTTGTGTGGGCACCCTCTTCAACCAAGCATGCAACATCAGGAAGGATGAAAGGCAACTGATGAACAAGACACACATACCTGGCAGGATCAACCCTAACATATGGCATATGTTGAAACTAAAAAAATAACGGTTTTAAACTCTGTGTTTCTTTAAACCAAAAAAAGTTCTGAGATAACCAATTATAAAATAAGTTCCTAAGTACAGAGTTTCTGTTTGGGGTGGTGAAAAAGTTTTGGAAATAGTGGCGATGGTTTCACCACATTGTGACTGTAGTTAATGCTATTGAATTATACACTTAAAAATGGTTAAGATGGCAAACTTTGTTATACAGATTTTACCTCCAAAAAGAAAAAAAACAATTGACAGAAAGAATAAATAAATCTCCAATTAGGTCATGTGACAGCCCCAGTGTTTCTCTCCCTTACTACTGTGGGCCTTTGAATGCTTCCTACCTTTCTCCACGCATCAATACTTACTTCTACTTTGGGACGTGGAAATTAAAACAATCGTGTATCTCAACTTACATTAACTTTATGACTTGAAATTTCTATGATAATATCCATTTGATTTACTTCCTTTAAAATGTATACACGTGGTAATTTTTCAACAACCAAATATCTTATCAATGACTTTATCTTTGCTCTTTTTGCCTTTCTGAACTGCATGCTACATGGAATATGTCTTTTGCAGTATCTTCCTGGCCCAGTTCTACAACGTGCTGTTACGTGTTCTATATTTAGGTTACAGAATTTTTGCAAGTCACTAGGGAAGCTGGCAAAGGTACAATGCTATGTCAACAGACATGAGCAATGAGGGAAATTTATTTCTCAGGGAAAAGTCTAAGTTTTTCCCCTGTCAGAAACAGGACAAAGGAACCTTTATGGACCAGGCAAGTATAACCTTATAGAATGAATAGATTTCCACAGAATCTGTAATCTCTATAGACTTCCATTATAAAATTAATAATGCTACCACCAAGGAAATAATCACCCCAATACCCTTGACAGTTTCAACACGGAAGGCCTTCAGTTAGCAGCTACTCAGGAGGTACATGGCTCAACGACTGGTGGCTCCAGTGCGCCCACTGGACATCCCTTCTCCTTTGCTGCATGCCGGACTCCACCCTCCAAGACGCCCTCCAGAACTCCTTGAAGGCCTGACGACCCCTCTGGCAGAAACACTGGGACCTGGCAGTCCTCTTTTCCCTTTGCTCTGGCCTTGACATCTCACAGTGCAGGATCACAGTACCACACTTGTCCAAAAGGGGCCTCCACCTCAACACTGCATGCTCTCCAGCCCCAAAAGCCCTAACTTCAAGACTCCACATTCTGAAGAACAAATTAGCTACAAGTTTTATGAGTTCTATAATTTCAAAGTCCACATATTGAGTTTACTTATGAGAGCTATCTATACAGCTAGGCCTCGGGGTAGAAATGTAATTATACTTCTCATGTGTGCCCAGACTGTCTAAACTGCCTAAAATTGGGCCTGTGCATTATACATTGACAGAGGCATAGCAAATTAGCCCAATCTTTCTGGAAAATAATCTGGCAATATGTAATGGAAGCTATAAAATTGTTCCTGCCCTTTGACTTGTTAATCTCACTTTGGGGAAAATGTCCCAAGGAAACAACCCAGAAATTATTTGTTAAAAAAATGTCCACACCAAAGATATTTTCAATAATGAAATTATTTACTCAAACAGTCAAGAATAAGAGAATCAATCAAAATGTTACATCATCATACAATAAAGCTATTAAAAACAAACACTAAGTGAATCATATCATTACATGCAAATGTATACATGAAAAATAATTTAAGTTAAAAACTAGATATATTGACAAATAGATGCATGAATAAAAGTGAATCTGAAAAGATATTAATGAAATTTTAAGGTTAATTAGTTCTTCTTTCCTACAAATTGATCTAATTTCATAATATAAAAATAAAAGTAGACAAACTAATTTTCTACTAATATCTAAAAAAAGGACCAAACTATTGAGTTAAAAACAATAATTGGAAATTTCCTAATTCTCGGAAATTCCTAAGCAATATAAATTTATACATATGCATAATATTATACTATACACATGCATGTAAGTATTTATTACATATCTAGTATATATGTAAGTATATCTAGTATATATGTAAGAAAGGAAGGGAGGGAGGAAGGAGGAAAAGAAAGAAAGGAAAAGAAAGGAAGAAAAGAGACAGTTGTACCCCTTTAGATGACCACTAGCCATTTACAAGTTTGTCTAATTCTTAATATCCTTGTCATCCTTGCTACTCTCATTAAGAAAGAAAGAAGGAAGGAAGAGAGAGAGAGGGAGTTTGTTAGTTTGATAGCAGAGTCTCTTTGATCCCTGGGGAGGTTGAATAAGTCTGTAGATGATCTTTATCCCTTCATCAGTTGTAAAATGCTTCCTTACCAGGGTGTTCCCTTCTCCCTTACCTGTTACAATCTGTGAATCTGTTTTATCCAGAATGCCTTCTAGGGTGTCTATAAAAGGAAGTGTCAAGGGAAAAAAGTTCACTACTTCTCAATGCTTGTTAATAAATAACATTTTTTTCAGTGTTGGGTCATGTGGATCAGCTGACAGTTTTAACTCATAGTTGTTTCCAGAAAATAATTTAGTTGCGGTGAAAACGTTAACAACAATAGCTACTTTTTACCGATCACTTGCTATATGCCAGGCTCTATGTTGCACACATCATAAGCATAATTTCCTCCTCACATATAGATGAAGAAACAGAGGTTCAGGGAGGTTAAGTGTCTGGCCCAAGACCATACACGGCAAAGTCAGAATTTGAATCCCAGATTTGATTCCAACCCCAAGGTTTTACTCATTTTTGGAACGTTGCATGTCATTTTTATTCTAAATAAATGATGGAAAGCCCTTTAAAAAACATAAATTAAAAAAATAAAATAATAAAATAAATGTATATATGTAATATATAGCAAAACTATTTACATGATCACAAATGCATTTTTCTCATGAATTAATCTTCATTTACATTATTTATTCCAATGCATTCCTTTGCAAACAGACCTATTTTTTTGCTACGAAAAACCTAAAAAAGAGAACTAAGCTTTTTATACAGAATACAAACTATTTAGCAGCTTTTAAATTGAAGCATCTTTTACCCTCTTTATAGTAGCTCCTCTACATTGCCTTCTCGGTTAATGGACAGAGAAACATGAGAAAAGAGCTATAATAACCCACAGAGATATAAGGTTTGTTGATCATCTGGAATGGAGCAGACACATTAAGAGCCCTTTACTCTTTCCCAGCCCTGGCCTGGCGGTTTTACTGCCTGGAAGATGGGTGTGTTAAAACCAAGGCCCATGAGTCATGGAATACATAACACTCAGCAAAGTGCTGATTATGCCTGTGTTGCCACATGTCCTTAACCTCTCTCCTTGGGTGTCAGGACCCTCCCAGGCCACCTCCCTTTCCCTTCCAGGCAGACACACCCATGACCTGCTTTTACAACTGGGCTCTGGGGGCCCACACCCTGGGCCTGGTTCCTATCCTGACAGGGAATGGCTAAGAAGCTTCTTGGCTAGAGCACAACTGGCACCGAAATGCCCAAGAACTTCTGTTCTGACGTCCCAAGTTGGCTGCCCAGATGCTGTCGTAGTTCTTTCAGTTTCTGTAGACTGATTCCTGATGTGACCTGGAATTTTCCTTATTTTTCCCTTTTGTGCCGTCTTCTCACATCACTCCCACCTAACTCTAATATTCCTGTATCCCTGATTTCTGCTTGCTGCCTAGTTTCACCTGTTTACCAACTCTGACCTTCCTATCCCATGGATCCATGACCCTGTGCTGCTCACCATGGCTTCCCCAGGCCTGGCCCATTCCTCTGACTATCCTCTCTCTTATACTCTCAACTTTGCCTCAGATTTCCCAGCCCCAGCTTCTTCTCGGTCTCAGGGATTCAGTTCAGGGGGAAAAAACACAATTAAAGGGACTGGAGGGATCCAAGTGGGGAAGAGAGTGAAAGCAAGCAAAATACGCTTTGCAAATATTTCCTTTACTAAACAAGTTCACTTTGTTAGGCTGAAAATAACATTTAATAAACTAATCAACTTTTGTTAAAGCCCAAGCTCATTAAGTAAGTAATCAGCTAAGATCAGAAATAGCACTGTAGGGCCTGGCCCAGTAGCACAGCGACTGGGTTCGTGCGTTCTGCTTCAGTGGCCTGGGGTTTGCCGGTTCATATTCTGGGCGCAGACCTACTCACCACTCATCAAGCCATGCTGAGGCAGCATCCCACATAGAAGAACTAGAAGGACCTACAACTAGGATACACAACTATATGTATCAGGGCTTTGGGGAGAAAAAAGAAAAAGAGGAAGATT